AAAAAAAAAGCGTTTACAGGAAGTAAACGTAGGCCTATCAACAATACTTTGCATTAATCACTTTTAAGTTATCTTCATCGGCTGAAACATGGACAAATGCATAAATACTGGCATCATTTGTCGATTATATATCGCCGAAAAGATGACGCGTGACAGTTTGGATAACTACTACGTGTGCTAGATGAACAGAATGCATCCGTAACATTTCCTAAAGAAATTCATTTAAAATGTCGCTCCACGGAGTATTGTAGCCTATAGGCTGATTCTCACACTGATCCTACGTGTGGAGCACATCTGCTTCTGGACGCTCTCCGCCAGTCGTTTCACCCACACATACTGCGACGAATGTCGAAGGGATGCGACTTTAATACTTAATGAGCGCCCTACCTAGACAGCATTCTCATACGTGCGCAACATTTTTGTCCGTTTGAGAGAATCTACGACTCGACTCGCGTCTTCGAGGGCCAAACCCGCTGTTCACTAGCTAGTCCGCTTACTAGGTTTTGAGACACTCGTGCTTTTCAAAGCGCCGTGAGCTGCTCCGCGCTGCTCAGTCTGACAGCCACATCTCATCGATCAAGAACTGATCAATACTAAAAGTCATCGAACTATCGGAAACTAACTGGAGACTTTTTCCAGCATGGATCAATCTGCGGACGGAAATACAGAAAGCAAACCGAATGCTGCGAAACCGCTTTATCAGCGTTATTTAGTGTCTTTTCCAACCATAGCGTGTTTAGTGTTGTCGCTGAGTTCAGTAGCAGTGTGTTTTCTCATGACTTTCAAAACGCATCGGCTGGAGAGCAGGCTGCGCGAGCTGGAGATGAAGATGACGGGCATCTGTCAAGAAGCATCCCAGGACGTCTCTGTTCCTCTGGAACTGCGGGAATCCATTGAAGCACTCTTACAGGAGGCAAGCCTTTTAATTCTTCATAAAGGAAAGCTGCAACACCATCCAAATGTTTCGTCCTACTGTTTCACGTGTTTCTGCATTATGTTGATTTTATTCAATT